AACACAGAGGTGTAAGATGAGAGCTTGAACATGTATCGTTGATCCAGCTGGAGGGAAAAAATCGCAGAACCCACAAAGGAGCTATCGTCAATTTTTGACTCGTCCGTGTAAAAGACAACAGAGTGAGCCAGAGCTTCGCTAAAGATATCTTCGAAAATAGGTTGAGCATTAAGCTGTGGATTATCTTTAATTATTTTTAGGATAGAAGGGGGAATTTTAAAGTAACTAATGCGAGTGATAGTAGAGTAAAAGGAATTTTGATAAGCTGGCAGAGTGGGCGTTATATGCATAGAGCCTCTATTTGACCACATGTGTGGGAAAAAGGCGGTGGCTGGAAAGTGTTTATGAAGATAGTAATTGCGATGCAGGTGTCTTGCGCAAGCACATCTAAAAGTTGATCGACAACCGGGTGCTCCTGAATAGAAATAATTTTGAGAAAGTAAGTAGAAGCTAGATACTCAAACCTATGTTTAAGCGATGGAATTTTGGTCTCAGCATGAATAACATTTATTGGTGTGGAATTGCGATATCCACAGGCTAGGCGTAGCGCTTAGTTTTGCACACGCTGTAATTTAGTTAGACATTGATTATCTCTCAGAGCATAGATAAGAGAAGCGTACTCGAGAGAAGTACGGATCATAGATTTATAAATAGAAAGGAGAAGGATGGGGTTGGCCCCCCACCACGTCCCTCTCAGAGCGGACAGAATTCCGTTAAGTCGCTTGTCCTTACATACGTATTCCATGTGCATCTTGCCCGACAACCGAGAATCCAGCACGATGCTGAGGAATCTCACCGATGCAGAAACCGGGATGTTTGACTTCCCTAATTTCACCGGGGGAGTACAGGGGGCCTTGACCTTTTTTTTTTGAGAAAATCATCATTCGTGTTTTATCCGGTGAAATCTCTAGACTTCTATCGGTGAGGAAGAAATGTAAATTGTTGAGGGATCGTTCCACCGATATCAAGGCAACGCCAAGATGCGAATCTGAAGCAAAGATGACAATGTCATCAGCGAATTGTAATAAGAGAGAGTTCGAGGCAAGAGAACTATTAATATCTCTTAGATAAATATTAAATAAAGTGAGACTGAGAACAGATCCTTGTGGAGTGCCCTTTCGAGAAGTGTATGGAGGAGAAAGATCCCCTTGTATGACAAATTGAATGTTGCGAGAAGCGATAAGGTTGTTAATAAACTTAACAAAGCGGGGAGGGAAGCTCAAATTAACTAGATCGCCGGTTAAAATATCTGGCAATACGTTATCAAATGCCGATTTGATATCAACGAATATGGCGACTGTATCCTGATGTTGCAGAAAGGCAAAATGAATATGTGAGGAAAGAATAGTGAGGTTATCCAGATAGGACCTGGACTTTTTAAACCCGAATTATCAGGCAGTAAAGCCGAAAGGGGAGAAGATGGAGATTCGGCCAGCCAGTATATTCTATTTAAGATCATGCGTTCGAGAATCTTGAGAATACAAGATATGAGAGATATGGGGCGGATGCCCGCTCCATGGGGCTTGGATAGAAGGTGGATAATAGAATGTGACCATTGTTCAGGGAATATTGGGTGCGTTCAGCAGAACAAAACCACAGTATATACAGTAGCGCAACTCTCTGTCGGCACCTTTGATGTTAGTGTTGGCAAAAATGGAGTGCGCATGCGCGAAATCAGTAAGTTCCCCAG